GTCTCGGCTCCTCAGCGAAAAACTGATGTGCATTTGCGAAACACGCACGCCAACTGTCATTGGCTTGTTTAGTTTACACTCAAAGGTGATTGGGCTCTCGGGCGAGATCCCAATTCGTCAGTCACGACTGACGTAACGTCTCCGTTCCCTTCTTCCGGGAACGAGGGTTACACAAGTAACCGAGACGTTACACTATGTTAAAATAGCAGGATTTCTACTATCAAGTATACTACTTGTTGCAAATAGTGGCAATTATCTGCACTTCAGTATTGTAGTTCATTATAAAACAGTATGCAATAACGTATTGAGTGTAAATTATAAATTTAAATTATTAAATGGATGCCACCTTATTGGTACAATAAAGCCCTCCCTACACTTACCCTACCCCTACCCGATACTTTATTTTCAACTTTTTGATTATTTCCTTAATTTTTATTGAAAATAAATGCCTTTACGATGTGATCCGAGACTTGAAAAGGGAGCGAAAAAAAGTTTGGCTAAAGGCGGGATCGAATCTGGGTCGATCGCATCAAAAGGCCAAGGGCAAGCACTTATCCAGCTGCACCATTGGAGCTGATGTTCTACAGCCACTTTTAACTAAATCTAAATATACACTCCGTATTTTTTATTCCATAGTAAAGGCAATTCATATAATACATTTAAACTGAGCTACTTTAATACCATCTCCGAACATTCTACCAGGACAGGTTCTTCGGCTGGTTCTTCCCTGTATACGTTGATTGACAGATGTCTCGTCCAGTCAGCGGTGAGTAATCCCAAACCAATGGCACTGTCTCGAACTATACCTAACTCTTCCGGTTTGTCTGATTTGTCGTTGTGTTTTCTGACTTGTTAATTTGTTTTCAGATTTGTCGTTGTGTTTTCTGAATTGTTGTTGTGCTTTCTGAATTGTTTTGTTTTTTTTAGACTTGCATTTGCGTTTGTAATTTGTTCTTTTGTTTTCAGAATTGTGATTTGTTCTGCACTTCTCGGCCACTGTACAAATGTCACATGTGGACATTTAGAGGATTACAGAACTAGTTCAGGATGTGGAAATTGGAACTTTAAGTGGGAAGACATGCAATATTTCAAATGAAAAGATAATCACATTGGACATGTTTTCTCTGCAGGAGCTTTATATCCAACCAGCATGAGGATCAATGAGCAGGGGAGGCTTGTGGTGAACTTCCGCACAGAGGCTCGCTTCAGGGGGTTGTTTGTAGTGGCACATTCTGGTGCGTTTTGGCATCTCTGAAATCGTATTAATTATATTAATATTAATATATACATCGACATTGTTCTTATGGAAAGATTCATTTTTAAAGATAATTTAGTTGAGGAATAATTTGTCATAATGTTCAACGACATTTTTATCACTGACGACAACGAGACGATAACGAACCAGAACTCTTTTTGAATGACTAAAACTATGACAAACCTATTGACCTTTTCGTCGACGAATAAAAACGAGACGAAAATGTTAGGGAGGGACGATTTGGGAAGAGATTCATTCGATTTCAGAACGAATCTGCTGCGTGGTTCGGAGGTTAGATGCCTACATTTGAGCCTGCGGGACATAAGCTAACATACACTTGCTGCACATCGCATAAAACGTTCAAAAATGTCAATATGTGGGCGTAAGAGAAGAGCAGACATATAAATAAATCTGACGACGCAAGAGAGAGCTCAATTCGGTCCGGTTTTCTGAGCGCAGACACCGAAGCATACACTCACAGAAAGCGCGTCCTTTTTTCGGTTTTAAAGGGACAGCAGCTTAATTTAGTTTCTATTGTCCGAGTCATTGATGTTAATCAAGCAACAAAAGAAAGACAGAAAATCACTCACTGCTATTGACTGAAAAACTTTAGTAGCCCTAAAGAATAATCTAAATGTATTTATAGAAATAAATATGTCTGCTTGAAAGAATGAAGGATATGGTAAACAAGTTGCTATAGTATAAAGAATGCATAATTAGCCTATATAACCATTTGTATTTCATTAAAAAGAAAACCATGTGCTTGTTCTTTATGAGAAGTGGTTTTATTTAATTTTAACATAAAGGCATATTGTGTGTCATAGCAGTTAAATCGTTCACTGAAAAAATGCTACTAAATTTTTTTAAGGTAAGTGGTCACAAAATTTATTTTAGCTACATTTAATAAAAAAAATATGTTGAAAGTTAGTCAAATAAATTTGTTTATATACATGTAGCTAAAATAAATTGATTGCAACCACTTACCTTAAAAAAAATTTGTAAATTCAATGAATCATTTTTTTCAGTGTTGTCTATCATAATAAAACCTTAATATCAATACTATGTAATGAGTTTGGAAATTTTGGAGAAATGCTTAATAAATGCATTACACTGTAACTAAACCCATTAGATTTTAGTCGACTAAAACTAGACTAAAACTAAAAACAATTCAGGTGACTAAAATATGACTAAAACTAAATGGCATTTTAGTCAAAAGACTATGACTAAAACTAACTCAAAATTTGCTGTCAAAATTAACAATGTAATGAACTTTTTGCCTTATTTCCAGCAGCGGATTTGAGGGGTCAGAAGACTGCAGGTAAAATCTAAATATCATATCTCTCTTCTTAAATTGTTTATAGAACAAACGCCTTGATTTGATTAAATTAACTTGCTATCTTGCTATCTTACCTGATTACCCAGCATCACCTGTGAAGTCCATTGTATTGAGTGCAGACCACCCAGGCTTGACCTTCAACCTTACTCTGGTTAGGACTGAGCTGACCTACAGCCAGCCTGTCCAGCAATGGATGTTCATTTCAGACTTTGCAGTGAGTTGTTTGGATGCCTTGCAGACTCCCCATCCCTGCTGTACAGATTCAAAATTATTGTGAGTATGCTAGCAGTGTTAACTAAAACTAATTGAACTAATTAAAAATGTAAATATGAAATGGAAAAACTTGAAAGCTTGGCAACTAACTGAAGTACTAAAATTAAAACTGAAATAAATATAAATGAAAGCTAAATAGAAATATAAAAAGACAGACACAAACTAATAAAATGACAAACATAACAAAATTACTAAAATACTCATTCGAATTATTAAATGGTATATAAAACTATATAAATAATACTAAAATGCACGTTTTTATATTTGTCTTTCATTTTATAATAAATTATACATTATACAATTTAAATTAATAATAATAATTGAAATATGTTATTTTAGGAAACATAATTTAAGTGGTTTGTTAAGACATTTTCAGTAACATTTGTCTAAAAAAAGTCCCATGACTCCACCTTGCCTCTAGGACAAAGCCCAGCCAGAGACCCAGGCCAAGAGTTTTGGGGACGTGAGTTTCAAGGCCCTGCTGGCTGTAGATGACCCCTCTGCCCTCTCTCTGGTGAAGCAGCCAGGATCTGACGGATTCAGACTGGATTCTACTCCTCTTTTCCAGGTCTAATCTTTTTGAAGGTTTATTAGTTATGGTATTGTAGAACTATATACAGTGTGACATCCTGTACTGGATTCCTGTCATTTACCAAGTCAACCTTGCTCAAATCCTCTATTATCCTTCTGGTCTCTAGGTGGCAGTAGGACGGGAGTGGTTCATTCACACCATCTACACTGTGCGTTCAAAAGACAACGCCAAGCGTGGCATTGGCAAGCGAAGTGTAGAGTACCACTCAATAACATCAGGTGACCTTGTACCAGCGGAGGCCAGAGGACGCTCCAGACGGTCCAACAGAGAAGTCCCGGTCCTGGCGGAGGAGATCGGACCCGAGAACAACCGAGGAACGAATATCATGCACATCGCTCTGGACCGCAGCCGTCGGCGCTCTGCATCTGGGGAAGAGCTGTTCGCAGACGGACTGTCTCCACGGGAGCTCAGTGGACAAGGTGCGGAAGAGGACGCGGTGACTGTGGCAGGAGCCGTCGTGGGACTGCTTCTCACCGTCCTCGTGGTTATAGTGTTGGCACTGATGGTTCGCTCAAGGTGGACGCCTGTGAAAAAGGCCCCAAGAGTCTCGTCCAGCCTCCAGCCTGTTATAGTTAGAAGTAGCCTTGATAATGGTGACAGTTCAGAGGTCTGAAAGACTAATGGACTACTCGGAGATATTACTGTTCTCCTTTGTCATACATGGGATCAATTTGTTTTCTTTTCTTTGTTTTTAACAAGTGCCTCTGACAGGTTTTATTTTACGGAGAACTCACGACCCAGTTCATCACCAGCCCAAAGAAATCATTTTAAATTACGTTTTATGTTGTAACTCTGAAATTCTGCTTGTCTAATAATGGATTGAGGTTTACCCAGTGTTCAGAGTGCTCAGGGGGGACCCTGAGCCCTACCCACTTTTTTGAAAGTAGACTAGAATGTGAGAAAAGAAAGAAAGAAAAATGTGTCCTTCAAATATTAATAATTTTAATATTCTTTTATGCCAGTGGATATATTGACAGAAACAAGATCTCATTTGGTTCCATTTTAGTTGCATTAAATTCCAGAATTCCAAAATGATTTTTTTTAATCCAAAATAAAATATTAACTAGAATAATAGTGGTAATGGTAATAGTAATAATAACAATAAAATAAAGAAGGACCACTCATTAGAAGAAGAAAAAGTTTAAAAAAAAGTTTTTTTTCCAAGTAATAATAATTGATAATAATAATAGAGTTTTTTTTTAGGTATTTTTCATGAGAATTTTTTATTATTATTATTTAATAATCATAATTATTATTATTGTTGTTGTTACCCTAACTTGTTTTTTTTTGTTTTTTTTTACCTTTTAATTAGTTGTGAATACAATTTTTTCACAGCACATTCCATACAAAGTGTATGAAAGTTTAATTTAAAAAAACATCTCAATCTCATTGGCCCTGTCACTTTGAACACTGGGTAACACCAGATGAACGAAAGATGATATCATTTATACAGATGATAAGATTCTGAAAGGAAAAGTAAGTTTGAGAATGTTTAAGTCATTTCTTATGGGTCATGTGGTGCATTCAAATGAGCTGATCACGACACTGACACCTGTATTGTGTGTTTCACCTTTATTTATCTCAAGTGTTAAATATTGGCTTGTATTATAGCATATCACAGGTTTTTAACAGCAAGTGCCAAGCTTTTAATGGAGAAATGCTGAATATGCATTTCATATCACCGTTAAATAGTTGTTGTCACAAAGTTTACATTCAGTCTGTCAAATGTTGTCAAATTTCATCTTGTTGCTGCTGTTTTTATTACTTGTTATAATTTAAGCATTAGTATTCATGAGAACCGCATGTATTAAATATTGCCGTCTTATCTCACCGAGTGTCGTTTTAAAATAAGGGAAAAACTGACACGGGAAATCCCTCAGATTTCTAAATTTGTGTTTGACTGTCTTTTGGAGTTTTTTTCCAAACCAGATTCACTCCACTGACACTGATGTATCAGCTATAACATTTTTGTTGTCTTCACTGTCATTAGACACATCAAACTGTTTATGCATCCATGAAAAACCAGCATCCTATTGTCAAATCCATTTCACCTCCTGACAAATATATTCCTCATCAGGCTGATAATATTTCAAAAGAAATGTGCTATGCAATAAAATCACTGGATTGTTTCCATATTCGCAGGTTAAGAAACACGAGCACGACATTTTGGGCACAATGAAATAATCTTTGTTTGAAATGGTATTTATGGTGAGATATTGTGTTTTTTGTACATGGTTCACTCCTAAATATTTACAATGCTAAATGCATTTTATGTACTGGGCCTTGAAGCACAAAATAAAGTCTTGAGACTTTAAATATTTGAACGTCTTATAACTGTGCTAAAATGTGTTTGTTCAGTTGTAGTTAATTCATAGTTGTGAAATGTTTACCTTTCCTGTGGTCGAATGAGTCTGTTGAATCCGTTGAACATGAAGCGCTGTAGGATGCTGATCTCCTGGAGCACTAAAGGGTCCTAAAATCTGGAACACGCTGAAGAAAGTACCTTGAAGTGAAGGTTCTCTAGGCCAGAGACTCCAAATTTAGTCTCTCTAGGATGGAGACTCGGGACATGCTGCATCTGTTGTTGTCTCGCTGGACGAAGACTTTGAAAGTATTGTACTGTATCTGTTGATGTCTCTTTCCTCACAGGCTTAAAACTCCAAATGTGGTTGAATCTGTTACTGCCTCTCTGGATGGGAGACATTTCTCATGCATTTCTCATTTTCCAAACCACTACCAGAATACCTTTGGTAATGTTCTGAATGCATCAAGTCCAAGCACGATGGAAAAGGATTGAACTGTCAAGCATGTATTCATTTGTCCGTCGGCTGCTAAATTTGTGTAAGATGTTGCACTACACATCTCACACTGAGAATACTTATTTCTCTGAGTAAGTGTAAAATGGATGTGATGTAGGCTAGTTTACATCAGTTTTGAGGTTATGAATGGATTTGGATCCATCATCTGTTTCACCCACTGCTGCTACATCCAGAGGACCTGAGGAATTTTCATGGTGGTCACAGGCCAAAACCTTAGGAATTAGTCTCTAAATGGGTGAAAGCTGAAACTGCATGTGGACCAATGAGAAGTCCTGTCTTTCCCAGGATTGGTAGCAGAGGTCTACTTCTTGCCCTCTAGTATCTCTATCTGATGGCGTGGGACAGTTTGTGTTAGTTCACCAAGATCCAATCAAATTGTAGCAATCCTTTGTCCACTGTTGTGTTCAGAGAGGGGGACCTGGAATGTGCCGTTCACCACAGTAAACATAATAAAAGCACTTTATTTGATAGAACTGTATTAAAACGCAATATGTACGCCACATAATGTGTTTGAACACAAAATATCAATACAATAGCAGTCAATTTGCAACAAGAAACTAACATGGGAAGCTCAAAACATCAGGCTTTTGGTGAACGGAGTTTCTCTTACTAACCTAAATTTACCCAATACTGTAATCCGGAATGTCTTTGTTAAGTGAATCATATCCTTTCTTCGAATCAACATTCAACATTCCAATATTTCTCTAAAGATGAAGTTAAAAACTTTAAGAACAAAATATTTGAATTTTTCAGTTGCACCAAAAGCAAAGGAAGACTTAACGGAGTATATCCTTCTAGAGAATTTTTGAGATGTCGATTTGGTCTTTATGTTAACAACTGTTCCTTTTGTGATGATCAAACTGAAACTACAGAACATTTTTTTTATGATTGTAAATTTGCCTGTGCCTTTTGGGAAGATCTGCATTACTGGTTATTTCCTAAATTTTAAGATTGCCCTGTTTTAACAAAGGAAAATGTATTATTCGGTTTATTTTTGAAATATACGTGATTTAGCCATTAACAATCATTATTCTTGGGAAGTTCTTTTTGCATAAGATTCCTGAAAATTCTTCCAAATTTCTACATATGTCACAAAGAACTATGTCATTATTTCTGTCGCTGAAACAAATGAAAAAGAATGCCTTAAACCTCTGTAATTTAATAGAAAATCTTAAACTTGCTGAAAACCCCTAGTAATTGTTTCCCCCTTATTTTATGTTATGATGCTCGTCTGTTGTCTGATTAAGAAATGTTGCTTTTGTACCAGGCCGTTTGTGGTAGTTTATATCGTTCAATAAAGTTCATTAAAAAGAAGAGAAAAAAAAGCTCGAAACATCAGAGTCAGATCAAATCCAAGACAGAAAAAAATAAACGAATGAATGTCTAGGAAGGGTGGGATTCTTTGAAACGAACTGCTCAAAAGAACCGACTCGAGAACATTTCTCTGCCAACTAGATAACGTAACCAATCAGATTCACCACAAGCCCTCACGTGACTGGACCAGGAAGTGAGTCCAGAATGGGCTCTCTCTCTTCCGCCTAGAGTTACTTCTATCCCTGTTACACTGTTGCTTTGGGAAACATGGCTACTGCCGGAGATTCGAGAGTAGAGCTTCAGAAGGAATTAGTCTGTTCTATTTGCCTCGATTATTTCGACGACCCTGTCATTTTAAAATGCGGCCACAATTTTTGCCGCATGTGTATTTTGATGCACTGGGAGGAAAATGGAGGCGATGATGTGGGTTACCAGTGTCCGGAGTGCAGGATGGTGCGTGGTTTGTTTTGATAAATGTTGCTAGATTCTGGGTTGCTTAGTTACAGCTGCTCGAATGAACTTAACGGATTTCTATAACGTTACATTCGCGTCTAAATCATGCACTAGGACCTAAACCGGCAGTCTAAATAACAACCGGACTTTAATAGGTGTGATTTCTCCGACCTCCTTTATTGTATCATAACATACAAATCGCCGCACGAGCCTTTTGTCAATACACAGCACCGATACTTTTCTGCACATGCTACACATGCTTCTGTACATGCTACTTTGTCCTTTTTTGCAGGTGTTCGCGAAAATGAGTTTCACCAAGAATTACCTGGTAAAGAACTTAGTGGATAAACTGAGCGACTTCGACTATCTGAAGACGTGTAGGCCCTCTGCACCCGCAAAACCCGTGAAAATGGACGGGAAATGTGAGCGACACCACGAGGAGCTCAAGCTGTACTGCCACACGGACAGGAAGCCCATCTGCGTGGTGTGTCGGGAATCCAGATCCCACAGGTGAGGCTCAGTCACCTGAATATGCTCCCCATATTCACTCAAAATCTAGCGAGCTACCTGCCTAGACATCATTTTTGGGTTTATATGCTCAAAATGCTGTTTGTGTGGGCAGATCAGTAGGTTTCGATGCTTTGACCTCTGCTCTGTCTGAGGACCAGATGTACTTCATTCTAGTATTTTAGATGAAAATGGCTTTAGAAATGAAGCATCATATGTCACTGTTATTATTTTTCTAGACACCATGATGTTGCTCCTGTACCCGAGGTTGTTGAAGACATGAAGGTTTGTTTGACATTGCTTGGTTTTGTCTGTTGCGTAACTGATTTGATTGAGCCTTTCTGTCTCTGTCACTTGTTTGTAGTGTCTTTTTCATTCCTTCCTGACCTCCTTCCTGTTATCTTGGTCTAAATGCCGGAGTTGGCACCAGAAGCCATAGACATTTATTGCTAACCTTGGTGCTGGAACAAGGAGTGACTCTCTGTCACTGCAGTGTTGTATGTACATGTGGCATTTAGCACTTACGTTAAGTGCTTTTTCTTACCAGATAGCCGTGGAAATGTCTTTAAGTAACTCGTAGCCATTGCTTGATTGTGGTGTTTGCAGTCTTGAGGGTTTTTTTTAAGAACATTTCAAACCAAATACTATGTGAGCAGTGTCTGGTGTTTTCTGGATCTAGGTGTGAAATTAACACCAAATGTGGGTACTTTTTGCACAATTTTGCTCATCTAACAGCTGCTGGGGCCGATACACAAATGTGTGTGAAGAGTTTGTCTTCATATTTGTAGTCTAATGTGAACACTAGAAATGAACCTTGACCATTTGCAATTTTAATTAGCTTTGAATCTAAGGTGCATTATGAACGCAGAGCTCTGTACATTCATTTTTTAAATAAATAATAAATTCAG